GAGCAGTCTCAGAGTCTCCCTCATTGGTGCTGTAGCTGAGGAAGGAGACTCTGAGAGACCTGGGTCCTTGGGTTTGGGGTGTCACCTTCAGGATTGAACAAAAAAATGGGTTGTTTTTCTTTTTTGGTTTTCTGAGACAGGGTTTCTCTGTATTGTTTTGGAGCCTGTCTTGAAACTCGCTAGATAGACCAGCCTGGCCTCGAACTCACAGAGATCTGCCTGACTGTGCCACCAATGCCTGGCCTGGGTTATTTTCTTTTATTGACTAAAACCTGGAAACAGTGAGGTTCTGAGAATGGCATGGTGTGTTTTCACCTGCTGGGCTTTTAGCTGCTAGTTCAGGGATGCAGGACTGTAAGAGGGGAACCTTACAGTGTAAGTGAGACTTGAGGGAAGAAGTCAGTTCTTGGCATGTTTCTAGACAAACCAAAGAGCACAGACTAGCTGTGTCTCTAGCTAGTTCTTCTTTCCTTTTCTTTTTCCTTTCCTTTCCTTCTCTTCTCTTCTCTTCTCTTCTCTTCTCCTTTCCTTTCTTTTTATTCTATGTATCTTTTACATCATGTATCTTGTTCATTTCCCTGTCCTTTGAATCTGTCCTCTGCCCCTGCACCCCCCCCCAATAAAACAAAATTTAAGAGAAAAGGGACAAATGAAAAATCTCGTCATAGAAGCTTCATGTATCTTTGCTTGCAAGTGTTCACTGCAGAGTCATTGGTCTGGTTTGAGGCCTCTGGTTTCTACTACACTATCTTGGATATCCTATTGTTAATCTGTGTTGTGAAAATCCTACAGCTTTGGACCTGTGGTTCAGGTCCCTCCACTGTTCTGGCAGATCATAGATGGAGTGGATATTGAGGCAGGCCAAGTCATAACTCTTTCTGGTCTGAGCAGCCGCAGGGCGGTCCACCTGCCAGTTCTACCCTGGGCTCACCACCCTGGTGAGCTCTCCAGCATTGCCCTGGCTAATTCACCTCTTGCAGCAATGAGTGAGGAGTGGGCCAGTTCTGCTTTCCTGCCCTCAGGGCTGGCACCCCATGCCTGCACCATCAGGGCCAGCTCTATTGTGTTGCCCCAGAGAGGTACAGGGGCCTCTCCTGAGTGTTGGAGATGGTGAGGGGCAGGGACAGCCATCCCATTCTTATGGCCCATGGCCAGCTCCTTCACCTGTCTCAGGCATTTTGTGGGTAGGGGTGGAGGGCCAGGGACAGCTCTCCTGCTCTTATGACCACAGGGCCAGCTCTCCCAGCTGCCTCAGTCTTAATGGCTTTTCTTATGCGTACTCAGGGACCTCCATAGCAAACTTAACTCCTTGAGGCATCTGTTCATGGACAGCATTGAAGATATCAGGAAGCATACCCACAGAGCGGTGCCACCTCATAGTGTTGCTAATAGGATCTTAGGCTTTCCCTAAAGTCATCCAGCTAGCATTTAGTTGTGAGGGAATAGAAGCTTTGGAATTTAGTTCAACTTCTGGATGAGAAATACTCTAATCGTGAAGTGTGGCAGATTGTCCACTGGGTATTATTGTACCCTCAAAATCACAAAGGGAAACATGAGACACTTGTTTATATTTTTATGGGATCACAGTGTATAGCCCAGGCTGGCCTGGAGCTCACTATGAAGCCAGGGCTGACCTCTAGAAATGCCCATAGAAACCCCCTGAATCGTTCTTCCTGCCTTGTGTGTTGGGGTTATAGACGGGAACCACCACAGTTGGTTTAGGAAATTCCATATATAATTAAAGCCTTTTTCGTGTAATTCACATCATTGTCTTATAACTTAAAGCTCACCTGGACATTTTATGTCAAAAGACAGCTATCTTTTGTGTGGTATTAAAATTATCCCAAGAACAAGTGCTTGTGCTTGTCCCCAGCTCCCCAACTCCCAGTGTTAAAAGTGCTTGTACCTCTTTTTCAAAGAATTTATCCCACGTTTTGTGAGCATAGAATTATGATATATAGATTTTATTTAATTTGTATCTAATTTAATTAACTTCTTTCAGACAGGAGTCTGAAAGACCGTGATGATCACAAGTGCATGCTTGTCCTGCCTCAGCCTCCGAAGCGCTGGTGTCACAGGCCTGTGCCGCCACGCCTGCCTCCATATTGTTTTATGTTCTTTCTGTCTGCAGGGTCTGCACAGATACTTGCATTTTTAGCCCTTATATTGATAAGGATTAACTCGATTAAAATTATTGTTTGGCTAACTTACAATTCAAACACCCTGATTTGAAGTCTCAATTGTTGATGTGTTGTATTTATTTCCAGGTTATTATATCATCTATACTTTATATGCTGTTTAGTTTTATGGCAATTTGACACAGTCTAGAACAGTGGTTCTCAACCTGTGGGTTATAACCATTGGAAAACACATATTTCCAATGGTCTTAGGGACCCCCAACCATACCTGCTATTTCATAACTATAATTTTGCTACTGAGTGATTTCTCAGTCCCTGAAATTATCAAAAATATGTGGTTTCTGATGATCACATCCCACAGGTTGAGAATTGCTGGTCTAGAGTCATTTGAGAGATGGGAACTTCAGTTGAGAAAATGTTTCTATAAGATCAGGCTGCAGGCAAGCCTGTAGAGCATTTTCTTAGTTAGTGATTGGTATGGGCAGGCCCAGTCCATTGTGGGTGGGCCCGGCCCTGTCTGATGGTTCTGGGTTGTGAAAGAAAAGCAGGAGGTTGGGCAAGCCACAGAAAGCAAGCTAGTAAGCGGCACTCCTGCATGTTTTATTACAGCAGTAGTAACCCCGACTAAGATGTTTTTGCTGTCAGATTTTTAATATGATATTTTCATTAGTTCTTTGAGAATTTCTCTCCTACATACAATGTATTTTAATTATATTCAACCTCAATTCCTCCCGTAACTGAACTGTCTCCACAGCTCCTCCCAACTTCATGCTCTCTCTCTCTCTCTCTCTCTCTCTCTCTCTCTCTCTCTCTCTCTCTCTCTCTCTCTCTCTCTCTCTCAGAAGCCACTGAGTCCAATTTGTGCTGCTTACATATTCATGAGTTTGGGGCCACCCATTGAAGCATGGCCAACTGACTAAGGGCCATACCCTTAAAGAAAAATATATTCTTTCTCCTCCAGAAGCTACCAACTGCTAATAGCTCTTCTGTTAGGGATGGGGCCTCACAAGCCTTTTCCTCCTCTGTGCTAGAATGATGACTGGCTTGATCTTTGCGGGTGCTGTGAGTTCATGAGTGCCATGGTTCTGTCATGTTCAGAAGACACTGTTTCACTCTGGTCTTCCCTAACCAGACTCTTCACAATCTTTCCACCTTCTCTTCCACAATGGTCCTTGAGCCTTGTGGATAGAGGGTCTAACATAGGTGTGCCCATTTGTGGCTGAGCTCTCTTCACACACTCATTCTCTGCACTTTGACCAGTTGTTTCTGCTTTAACTGCCAATCACTACACAGGGAAACTTCTCTGATAAGATCTGATAGCTGTACTAATCTATGGGTATAGAGATATAAAATTAAAAAAAATTGATGTTATGTCCATTTATCTTAAAAATAATAGAAGTAGGTTCACTTCTGGGGCTTATGAGTTCCCTAACCATGGCTTGTTGGATGGATTCATAGTACCACGTATGTGTTTCATCCAGTGAAGTGAGCTTTAAAACACAGAGTGGTTCATGTCACTGTTGCATGCATGGGCATATTTTGTCACACTGGTGGTTATTGTAGATTACAGGGTTCACAGCTGGTAGCTTTAAAAAAAAACCCAATAGCCTGTATAATACCTTCCAGGATAAAGAAAGTTAGCCATCAGGGAGGAAGCTTGCTAGTAAGTACCAACTTGATTTCTCCATGCCCTGTGACCAAAGTAAGTGGTATCTTCAGCAACAGTATAATATAATCAAGTTCTGGTGGGCAACCAAAAATAATGGTTTGTATTGTTTTGTGGTTTCTTGAACACCCCTGACTTGAGATAAGGGAAGGCAGGGTAAGGAGTAGGTTAGGGAGGGGTAAGTCATACTAAATTTGTCTGAAAATCCATCTGGAAACCTATCATTTTATAATATTCAAATATACACACATATATTTCATATACATACTCGTGTGTATGTGTGTGTGTGTATGTGTGTGTGTGTGTGTATGTGTTCATATAAAAAAGTTTAATTGGAGTTACCTTACATCAGGAATAATGTTCCTCCCATAAGCCATAGTTTGCCAAATAAAGAAGCCCAATGCCAGGTTTATTGGTTTTATTGGTGTTTTAATTTATTTTCTGTCATTTTCCACTTGAAATCTCACTGGTTTCTGTTTCTCTCTTTGTTATTCTCCCAATTAGATTTGTTTTGAGGATTTTTCTACCTTTGTCATTTTCCTTTCTTAAAGTAGAAACTCAGACTATAGATTACCACCCCCCCACCCAGTATAAATACTAAATGCTATGAATTTCTTCCTTGGTGAATATTGCAGTTTTAGTATGTTGTGCTTTCTTTTTTTATTTACTTCAAAATACATTCTCATTTACCTTGAGAGTTCTCTTCAATGCAAAAGCAATTTAGAAGTATGTGCAGATTTGGGCATGGTGGTTCAAATCTGTAATCCTAGGAGACTGTGGTAGGAAAATTGCTGCAAGCTCAGGGCTAGCCTCAGACTACTGTAGTGAGTTCTAGGTCAGCCTGGGCTATAGACTGAGATCCTGTCTCAAAAAATGAATACAAAACAAAATAACACAAAACCCAAAAGCTAATCAACCAGCCAACCAAAGAACTGTGTTCAGCAATTTGATTTAGTATCTTTTTGAGATCAAACATTGAAGTTATTGTGGAGATACTTTGGTGAGAAGGCATTTGGGTTTTACACATTACAAGTTGCTAGATTTTTCATAGTTAAGTGACACAATGTGATCTGTGTCTTTGTGTGAGTTTGAAGTAATGCCTTCAGCTAATTCTTAATGCTTCTGCACCCAGCGGTAGGTTACAAAAGCAGGATTTGCAGTTCGTCTTAGCAATGTCTTTTCTTTGTTCCTTTTAGCAAATTAACCACTGGGCAGACCTGGATCCTGAAAAATTCAAGATGCTGAGCCCCTACACTGCTTAAGAATTCAGGACTCAAATATGAAAAGAAAATCAGAAATAAGACACTGGGAACCTGAATACTCCTGCAGAAAAACACCAAAGGACCATTCCGTATCCTGTAATGCTGTGGTCTGGATGGGTAGTGGGTGTTGTGAGATGGGGGGGATGCTTTTGGTTGGCACATACCTATGCTTCCCCATGGAGAGAGGTCCATTGGTTTTCTTGCTTCCTACCATGTCTTGACTTGCTTTTGGAACAGGCTGGCCCAGCATCATCTGCCCTCAAGTCTGTTGTGGTGTATTCTGTGTCCATGATCAGTCTCCAGCTATCCCTTCTGTCCATGTCATCTCCATCACTGAGTCACAAGACAGGGCTGGTGTTAGGCAACCAACAATAACATATTGTATGAGACTTTGCATCTTGTACATGTTTTTTTTTCTAAAAATAAACAATAATAAAACCATAAATCTCAATGAACTATTTTATTATTAGACAGATTCTGCTGTGTTGGTTTAATGATATTGTCTGTAGAAATGTGATGCATCTGAACACACTCTATTGTATCTATACTTCATTTTAGGTAGGCCTTGTAAGAGTTCTTCTATGTGTGCTTCAGAGGCCCCCAGTTACACAGTGAGAGCTGTCTGGTAATTTATGACTGATGGCATTCTACTTGGAAAATGGTGGCAGGAAGGGGAATGCAGACAGTCCGGGGACCCATCTTCAGAATGGCCAAAGCATTCTGGTTGAGAATAGATGCGTCTGTTCTACCTGGGAAGTGGGGCAAGGTCTCCCACATTGGCTGCACAGAAACCCTTGTCCAGTAGCTACTCTGTGTTTATATCCAAGGCACTACGTATGTCTTGTGAAGAAAGACCACATACTGTTAAAGGAGTTAATTGACCAGTGACACAACTATATCAGTCATTTTTAATGTTGTATAAGTTGAGAAATTATATTATTGCTTATGGTAAACAGTATTGTCATCTCTTAAAATATTTGTCTTATTATAGAGAAGATGCCTTTTTCTTTTGGCATTTTGGTAATGCTGGCACTGTCTACCCATGACCTTTATAACGACTTGAGTCCTTCTGGTCTGAGCCACTTGTCTACTTTAAATGAAGACATTAGGATGTATGGGGGGACAAAACCTGAAATGACATTTAAAAGCCACCATTAAGGTACTTGGAATATACAGTTAGGAAAAGATTGGCTACCCAGTGAAATTGTCTTTGTTTTGAACCAACACAGACATCCAACAAAATGTTGATATTTTAACATCCACATTTGAGTTTGAAAACATTGCATCCCAGTGCAGATCCAGGTCAGTTTTCCTAGCTCATGGACAGTGAGGCCCAAGAAGCTCCTGCCCCCACTCCATCTGAATTATCAAAGGAGGGTTTGCCATGAATAAATTTACTAAAATCCCCATTTTACATGCGTCACTGAGCAGGTTTGTCGTGTGTTTTCCTGCCACCACAGTTTATCAGCACCAATTAATGCTCAATGAACAGCTGCAGCCTGTCCTTGGAGTCAGGTGAGATGAGGAATGAATAGTAATAACTTATAACTAGATGTTTGGACAGTGGTAAAACAACATACTCTCATTGTCCACAGCTTTGTTTCTGGACCCCATTTTAAGGGGCATCCTCCCTGGAGTGTGAGCAGCAGAGTGTGGCCAAGTGGCTGACAATCACAAGGAAAAGAACTGAAGGATCTGAGGCTCTGGAGCCCAGGGGAGAGCATTTGGGAGAATTTGAAAGATGCAGGGGAGAACCTGGGTCAGAAATAATGAGAGGAACAGTGGGTGTAAGTTGCATTAACTGGAGGCTGGCTTTCTAACAAAATAATTCCAAGTGGATCATAATGTTGGGAGCTTTTATCATCTGAGCAGAAAACCCAGTCCTACTTAAGTGAAGGGAGACCTTCTGTTTCAAGTAATTGGCTTAAAAATCTCCCTTTACAAAATGCAGGGGATATGATGACTATCAGAAAAATGTAGCATTGGATGGCAGGAAGCATTTCTACCTTTACGAAGGTCATTTTTCAGCTCCTGGGATCAGAGAAGCAGTGAACACACTCCAGAGTGACTTGGGAAGGCCTGCCTTAACAGGCCAACATGATGAGAGATGGTGTGAGGTCAGGGAGGAACCCCAGAACAGGCAAGAATCCATCAAACGCAAAGCACCAGTTCCCACCTGTTAACCTTCCTTTGAAAGAAAGGTTGTTTCCAAGTCTGTCTGTGGGAATAAAGGCTAAAATTAGATTTGGGTGCAGTTCTGCTTGCATAGGATAAACCTTCTGCCTTTACATCTTTTCTAGCATCCCTGATTACTTACAAAGCTTGCTGTTTACTGTCTGTTAAAACATCTTCTGTGTGGGGATGGGAGAGGAGAGTCAGACCATGTATGGCTGTTTTTTTGAGAGGCCTTGGCAGGTCTTAGGCCCAGTACTTTAAACAGAGCTATGTGCCGACAACGCTGGGAAGCAAGATCCGTTTAATCTTGCCTTTTGTGGTTTACTTTATAGCAGAACAAGCACTTGTGGCTACACAAAACATAGACCAAATAAAGGCATCCTCTGAGGCTGGATGCTCCACAGCCTCTCATGCTTGGTGGTCCTGAGGAGAGAGGGAGGGAGGGAGGTAGGGAGGGAGGACAGCTCTTCTACCAGGCTGCAATGAGATGATGGATGGAGCTGTGCTGATTGATGGGTACTGATAACACTTGATAGCCATTGATTCTTTCATAAGGAAGAAACGTACCTGCCAGTACCCCACTTCTTTTGACCCACTCTCATTTTAGTAACTAAAAAACTGGAGAGATGGCCTTTGCTCTTACTAATTTGTCATTGCCTCCCCTGTTCAGCCAGGCACTTCCAGAATTCTTTGTAAATCCATTGCTGATTGCAGGCCTTTTAAAATAGAGCAGAAGACCCTCATATTGCAAACTGGGCAGACTTCAAGTCAGGCCTCTCCACTATTTTAGGAAAGACAAAGGGGACTGCCATTTGAGGGGAGTCAGCCTTCTTAAGCACAGCCATGTCTTCTCTCCTGAGGTCTAGATAGCAGTGCATTTAATTTTGGAGCTCCTAGAAACCAGCCCCGAATGCCCATTAAGAACTTGTCTGCTACTGTGGTGTTTTAGAGTGCTGAATCTAAATTAATGGATCACTTTGGGATAATGTATTTGGTATTTATAGGGCCTTCGCAACCTGTCTTGATTCTTTACCAGTGGTGAGCAAGCGTCAAGGCTCCCTCCATGAACAGCAAGTACATTGGCGTGGTCTCCTAAAGGAGTGGCAGCTGATGGCCCTTCTCTAGGAGGAAGATGACTCCAGCTTAGATACAAAGCACCTCTTATCAGGGGGAGTGAGAGATCTGTAGAAAGAGGTAGATGGCCAGACAACCACAGTGAGTGATGGCAGGTAAAATGGAAAGTATAATGGTCTCAAAGTGACAGGAAGGATGTTCAGATGACCGCCAACAGGTTGGTAGAACTGGATGTAGGGAGAGAAGAAACACACAGAGGGCTAAGGACACAGCTCGACCTTAGAGTAGTGTGGCCTGCTCATTCATAGTTATGCCTGTCAATGTCCACATGGCTGTCTCCTGGTCTTACCCAGGCTGATGTGCTCTGGTTCTTCAGCAATGTTTCCTGTAACCGTGACCCTCAAAAATTGGTCCACAGCTCTGCCGTTGTGTGCCTGAGGCACCTTGATGTGAGTATGTGCACGTTGGTCTCTACAGGCCAAGGGATGCCATAGACCTGGCTGCCAGGGAAACCTTGGGATAAACCACTATTCCAGCCATCAGAGGCTTTCCTCACTCCTCTGTCAGGTTGAGGCAGTACTTATCTTTGCAGCATGGTTGTAAGACTAAGCAAGAGGATGCTCACAGTCATAGCAGCACCCCATACAGATGCATCCCGTGGGTAACAGATGCTGTTGCTGTATCTGCATCCCATTCTTAGCTAACTTGGAGTCTACAGGTAAGGGAAATCCTTGAGTTAATCCCATATAATCACTGCAGTCCTACCGGACACAGCCTGTGGTCTGTTGTACTGCCTCAACACTTGTCTTGGTCCTTCCTCCCAGCTTCATGTCATCTTCAGACCTGTGCTAGTTTTAATTTTTAGCTAAATACAACATGCAGGAGGGACTGGATCTCCACAGAAGTCCTCTTTCAGATCAGTAGATGTATTATGTACTTTCTCATTTATCTGCTGAAACCAAGCTATATTTTATTTTACAGTATTTTGGTGGCTAACCCAATGATCTTGTCAAACAATATAGTATAGCACAAGGTGTTACCTTATGAACACATCCTGCCTGCCAATTTATTAAACTCTTCTCTATGTCTCTCTCTGTCTCTCTCTTTCTCCCTCTTCTCTTCCTCCTCCTCTCCCTCTTCTCTTCCTCTTCCCCCTCCTCTTTTCCCTCCCCCTCCCCCTGTCTCCCTCCCTCCTCCCCTCTCCCTCTCCTCCCCCTTTTCCTCTTCCTCTCCCTCTCTCTGTTTTGTTTTGTTTTGTTTTTTTGTGGCAGAGTTTCTCAGTGTAGCTTTGGAGGCTGTCCTGGAACTAGCTCTTGTAGACCAGCCTGGTCTCTAACTCACAGAGATCCACCTGCCTCTGCCTCCCGAGCTCACAGTCTCTTAAACCATCTGTATAATAGTCTATTCTAGAATGTTCTAGGAGCTCACATCCACCTGGGATACGTATAGTGTCTGCCATCCATTCTTGAAAACTGACTTTTTACATGTTTGTCTTTCTATTTTTTTCTTTTAGCATTAATCTCTTAAAGTTACCCCATGATAATTCCAGTCTGTACTACACCTTTAAAATTATTTCGAGGTCTTTTGAAATTTTATTTCATTCAGATTATATTGTCTTATCACATACCTTGGCTTGAAGGGCACTTTTATGATGCTTATTTTATCCTTTCTGAGTTTCAAATGTTTGTTTATAGGAGTAGATAAAGTAATTAATTTGAGCAATTACCCATGGCCAAAAGCTAGCCTCAGCCCTTTGCAAGTGATCTGCTCGGCACAGCCCCTCTGCTTTTCCCTGGTTAAGTGAAGAAACAGACTTAGAGAGGGCAGTGACAATCAGGAGCTGTGAAGGGTATGACATTTTACCTGATTGACCAGCAACCAATTAGTCTGCTGCAGTATTCGGGGGCTGTATTTGCTGGCAGAACACAGGGGACCCTGAGCCAGGATAGGGCTGAGAATTACTATAGAAAATGCAGGGTCAATATCCATAATCCAGGTGACACTGAGGACCTGGTTGTATAGACTGCCTGATCTTCGAGGGGACACTCTCCTTGTACAAACTTGGAAATGGTGTCTCAGAGCCAATTTAGTTGAAGAAGCACCAGAGAGAACTGCCTCTCAACATCTGCACTTGTTACTTTTATCATTACCATGACCACATACCTGGTAGAAAAACAACTTAAAGGGTTCAGACCA